GGGGGCCGGCCGGCGTTCCCGGCCGATATCTCGGAAGTAACTTATTCACCTATAATTCGATGTGGCTCCTTTATTACTTAATTAAATGGAATAATATTCACAGATATTGTAGAATAATGATTTCTCTTATCCTGACCGTAGAGTTTTTGAAAATATTCCAAATAGTTCGGGAGTTATGTGGGAGTAAAGGGCAGATTTTTTTGCAATATTCCAGAAACTAACAAACTTTATTTTTTTGTGAAATAACGATAAGGTATTTAGAGGGAAATCCTACGGTCCGAATTAGTATTAGCATTGTTCTCTCGGCACCAAGTGTCCAAACCACCTTACGTAGCCGCATATAAGAGTTGCATCAAAATCAAGGGCATTTTCAGTAAATCAGTCTTTTCTCAGTTGTTGTTTGAGGTATATTTTTTATAAATATTTTCGAGAAAGAGTGAGAACACTTTGTCTTGTGCACCAAAACTGGAGAAAATCGGACGGTAAATAAACGAGTTACGAAATTTGCCCTACAGCCCCCTGAAGGCACCACACTCAGGAGATTTCCTTTTAGCTGTTCCCAATTCCTCCCTGGGCACTCGAGTCGACCCACAGGCCATTCGGATTGGTGTTGCTCTTCGCCTAGCTGCCCCGATCCTCACCGAACATAGGTGTATTTGCGGCAGGGCGACGTCTGATCAATTCGGACTTCATGGTCTCGTGTGTCACACAGCAGAAGGGAAGTATGCCACACATGAGGAGGTCAATGACATCATAAAGAGAAGCCTCACCACAGCCCGTTGCCCAGCTCAACGGGAACCCCAAGTGCAGAGGTCTGACGGAAGTCAAAAGCGTCCTGATGGAGCCACTATGCTACCCTGGAAGGATGGAAAGCAGATTGCCTGGGACTACGCCTGTGCTGCCACATTGGCAAACACCTACTTGCCATACTCCGAAGCTGAAGGGGGTGGAACTGCCAGCCACAGCGAAACCCAGAAGATCCACAAATATGAAGACCTTCCCCTTGTTATAACTTCATCCCGATAGGGTCGGAGACCTTTGGAACATGGGGCAAGTGCGCTCTAAAGTTCCTCAAAGAGCTGGGTGAAAACCTCGTTACAGAAACCAAGGACCAAAGGGCGACCAGCTTCCTCTTTCAGAGACTCATTGTTGCGATCCAGAGAGGCAATGCCTGCAGCATTCTGGGCACGCAGCCCACCGCCGGGGAGCTGGACGAAGTATTCGAGATGTAGCTCTGAGTTGTTATCAATGTTGTTTTACTTTCTATTGCATTTTTGTGAATGTTTTGCCAATGTATTTTGTCTTTAAAGTATCTATAATATATATATTATATATTATGAAAGGGGGTAAGGCAGCCGGGATTGATGGGATAAAGATAGAAATGTTAAAAGCAGGTGGGGATATAGTTTTGGAGTGGTTGGTGCAATTATTTAATAAATGTATGGAAGAGGGTAAGGTACCTAGGGATTGGCAGAGAGCATACATAGTTCCTTTGTATAAAGGCAAAGGGGACAAAAGAGAGTGCAAAAATTATAGGGGGATAAGTCTGTTGAGTATACCTGGTAAATTGTATGGTAGAGTTATTATTGAAAGAATTAAGAGTAAGACGGAGAATAGGATAGCAGATGAACAAGGAGGCTTTAGGAAAGGTAGGGGGTGTGTGGACCAGGTGTTTACAGTGAAACATATAAGTGAACAGTATTTAGATAAGGCTAAAGAGGTCTTTGTGGCATTTATGGATATGGAAAAGGCGTATGACAGGGTGGATAGGGGGGCAATGTGGCAGATGTTGCAGGTGTATGGTGTAGGAGGTAGGTTACTGAAAGCAGTGAAGAGTTTTTACGAGGATAGTGAGGCTCAAGTTAGAGTATGTAGGAAAGAGGGAAATTATTTCCCAGTAAAAGTAGGCCTTAGACAAGGATGTGTAATGTCACCGTGGTTAATATATTTATAGATGGGGTTGTAAGAAGTAAATGCGAGGGTCTTGGCAAGAGGCATGGAGTTAAAAGATAAAGAATCACACATAAAGTGGGAGTTGTCACAGTTGCTCTTTGCTGATGACACTGTGCTCTTGGGAGATTCTGAAGAGAAGTTGCAGAGATTGGTGGATGAATTTGGTAGGGTGTGCAAAAGAAGAAAATTAAAAGTGAATACAGGAAAGAGTAAGGTTATGAGGATAACAAAAAGATTAGGTGATGAAAGATTGGATATCAGATTGGAGGGAGAGAGTATGGAGGAGGTGAATGTATTCAGATATTTGGGAGTGGACGTGTCAGCGGATGGGTCTATGAAAGATGAGGTGAATCATAGAATTAATGAGGGGAAAAGGGTGAGTGGTGCACTTAGGAGTCTGTGGAGACAAAGAACTTTGTCCTTGGATGCAAAGAGGGGAATGTATGAGAGTATAGTTTTACCAATGCACTTATATGGGTGTGAAGCATGGGTGATGAATGTTGCAGCGAGGAGAAGGCTGGAGGCAGTGGAGATGTCATGTCTGAGGGCAATGTGTGGTGTGAATATAATGCAGAGAATTCGTAGTTTGGAAGTTAGGAGGAGGTGCGGGATTACCAAAACTGTTGTCCAGAGGGCTGAGGAAGGGTTGTTGAGGTGGTTCGGACATGTAGAGAGAATGGAGAGAAACAGAGTGACTTCAAGAGTGTATCAGTCTGTAGTGGAAGGAAGGCGGGGTAGGGGTCGGCCTAGGAAAGGTTGGATTATTATTATTATAATCAAAAAGAAGCGCTAAGCCACAAGGGCTATACAGCGCTGCAGGGCAGGAAGGAAGCGAGGGCATCCGGTGGCAAAAGGGAGGTGGATGAGTAATAGGTTACGGATAACAGCGGAGCAGTGGATGGTGAAAGGGTAAAGGGCAGCAAGAGACTGAGCTAGAAAGGGCTGAGGGGAGTGCGTAAGGTATCATCATCAGAGTTTGTGGAGTAAATCAGTCATTGTCAAGAAGTCAATGAGAGAGTCAGGATTAAAGGAGGGTCCATCAGCAAGAAGGGAAGGTAAAGAGAGAGTAGTAGAACGAAGACGGCGTTGGAGGTAAATACTGCGTGCTCGTTGATAGAGAGGGCAGTCTAACAGAATGTGGCTAATCGATACTGGAACTTGGCACTGCTCACAGAGAGGTACAGGGTGCCTCTCCATGAGATAACCGTGAGTAAGACGAGTGTGGCCAATGCGAAGACGGGAGTGGTTTCCCAACCACGGCACTGATGACAAGAAGACGGCCAGTAACCTATGCTCGGTTTAATAGAATGAAGTTTGTTACCAAGCAGAGTTGACCAACGTTGTTGCCAACGAGCGTGAAGGTGGGTAGCTATTGCAGCAAAATAGTCCAGAAATGGAACACCTCTATAGGAAATTGGTAGGTCATGTACTGCTGACTGTGCAGCAGTGTCTGCCTGTTCATTGCCCTGTACGTCGACATGACCAGGGACCCAACAAAAAATAATATCTTTATGCTTCGTAGAGATACGGCGTAGCCAAAGTTGGATACGGAGAACCAGGGGGTGAGATGTATCAAATTTTCGTATAGCCTGTAGAGCACTAAGGGAGTCTGAGACTACCATAAATGATGACACAGGCATAGATGCGATACGAATAAGTGCTGCAAGAATGGCATACAATTCAGCAGTAAAAATGCTAGCCGAAGATAGTAAATGCCCCCGCACGACGCTGTCTGGAAACACTGCTGCGAATCCGACGCCTTCTGAAGACTTAGAGCCATCTGTGTACACAGCGGTGGCATGAGAATGGGAGTGGAAGTGATCAAGAAAAAGAGAGCAGGAAGCCACCGTAGGCAGTTGAGCTTTCGAGCAAGGGAGTGAGAAAGAACAGATAGGTTGGAGAGAGGGGGTAAAGGAGGTTTTGTGTGCGAGGGGCTTGGACTTCCAGCAGGCATGCGTGAGCGTGTTTGATAGGAGTGAATGGAGACAAATGGTTTTTAATACTTGACGTGCTGTTGGAGTGTGAGCAAAGTAACATTTATGAAGGGGTTCAGGGAAACCGGCAGGCTGGACTTGAGTCCTGGAGATGGGAAATACAGTGCCTGCACTCTGAAGGAGGGGTGTTAATGTTGCAGTTTAAAAACTGTAGTGTAAAGCACCCTTCTGGCAAGACAGTGATGGAGTGAATGATGGTGAAAGTTTTTCTTTTTCGGGCCACCCTGCCTTGGTGGAAATCGGCCAGTGTGATAATATATATATATATATATATATATATATATATATATATATATATATATATATATATATATATATATATATATATATATATATATATATATATATATATATATATACATGTGTGTGTGTGTGTGTGTGTGTGTGTGTGTGTGTGTACTCACCTATTTGTGGTTGCAGGGGTCGATTCACAGCTCCTGGCCCCGTGTGTGTGTGTGTGTGTGTGTGTGTGTGTGTGTGTGTGTGTGTGTGCGTAAAAAAGAATGAAAAGATGTGGTGGTAGGGGAAGTGGAATATTCAAACGGCTTCAGGAAGAAATCCAGTTATTCTTCCTTGAAGTCTTTTTATCCACTTTTCCGAGGCTATGGGTCCCACAATATATTATATATATATATATATATATATATATATATATATATATATATTATATATATATATATATATATATATATATATATATATATATTAAGCCCAAATGTAGAAAATAAATTAAATAAGAATTCAAGAATGTTGTACATTTCAAACTACCAGTGAAGATCTCTTCAGTAGTCTGCTAAAAAAGACATCAGCTGTAGACCGAAATATCCAATACCCTCATTATTTTTCTGCTTACTTTCTCCATATGACGTTGTGTTTATGTTCTTATGTATAAAAACTGTAATTATAGAATTGGATATACGTAGACCAAGCTTTTATTGCGTCATTTCTCTGAAGAGTTTTATCAAGTCTTAAGGATAATAGAAAAAATTTCTTTATATACAATATAAGGAGTGAAGAGAAGCAAATAATATTTGTGTTGGCGTGAGCATACAGGTGGAGGACTGTCCAACCCGAGGTTCCAGAACACACGGGGCGCCCATGGCTGGGGTGTGAGTTTCCTTGATGAGCTGCTCTACCTCTTTCCCTCCAGCAAACTCGACATTCTTTATAAGCAAGACTTTAATTCTGACTCCTCCTCCCGGGTCTCCACGCACATGATCATGCTCTGGACCAACTTTATCAAGGGCAGGTCAGTAGTTGCTTAAGAATGTCTTATCTCTTAAAACCATAGCCAAACCTTGGGAGAATCTATGATGCAGTCTCTTATGTTTAAAGTTATATAAATAATTTTATGTGGTAGTTTAGCACGAGTAGGTGTGCATGAGTACATGATGTATCCATACAATGGACAGTACATCATGGTAAAGTACTGTAATGTTAAACTAAAGCACAATGTGTGTTTGCAAACTACACATACCTCTTCACCATTATCAAATTACGAAACCTAGACGTAGTTTAGCCCCATTTCTTATCTGTTGGTTACTGAATTTTTCCAGCCCTGATTCTCCGTAATTTTTATATTTGACAGTGACCCAACGCCGCTGTTGGAAGGATGGCCTGAGGATGTTTCTCCATGGGGAGCATGGTGGGAGCCCTATATTCCTGGCTCTTTCTACTACCTCCAGATCGACCCAGAAATGGAAAGTAAAGATGGCCCACTAAAGGAGGAGCAAATGGTCTTCTGGAGTGATCTCCCTCTGTTTGAAAATCGTGACCACAATGTTCTAAAGGACGAACTGTGAAATAGTCCACAGAGTTAAGAAGAAAAATCATATTTATTATAAATTCTGAACATAGGCCTACCTCGTGGGTAGTGTACTTGTGGTTTTTGTAAGTGGCCGTTTTATTAGGTACACCTGCTCAATATAAATATCTGATCGGCCAATCACGTGGCAGCACCTCAGAGCCAAAAAAGCATGTAGACATGGTTAAGAGGTTCAGTTGTTCAGACCGAACATAGAATGGGAAAGAAAAGTGATCTACGTGATTTTGATCGTAGAATGATTATCTGTGCTAGACGGGGTGGCTTGATTATCTCAGAAACTGCTGATCTGAGATTTTCAGTCTAGAGTGATAATGGCGTGAAAAACACTAATACATCCAATGAGCAGCAGTTGTTGGTGATAACACCTTGATAATGAAAAGTGTCAGAGGAGAATGGTCAGGCTGGTTCAAGCTGACAGTAGCTCAGATAATCATACGTTACATCAGTGGTAAACATTAAAGTGTCTCCAAAAACACAACACGGCGAACATTGAAGTGGCAGAGTGAAGTAGCAGAATACCACACCGGGTTCTACTCTTGTCACCTAAGAAGAGGAAACTGAGGCTACAGTCGGCACGGGCTCACCAAAACGGGGACAAGATGAAATTTAGACACACATGCACCATGTTGTACATGTGTTTAATTCTCATCAAAACTGAACAGTTGAAGATGAAAAAAACAACGCCCGGTCTAACGAATCAACTCGTGATTTCTGCTGCTACATGCAGATGATAGGGTCAAAATTTGGTGTAAACCTTTGAGATGTGGTGGAACAGGAGGTTTGCAGCATGAATGTGCAGCCGACATCTGCGGAAGCTGTGTGATGCTGTCATGTCAAAATGGACCAGGATTTCTTAAGAATGTTTCTAACACCTCTCTGATCGCGGGTTCTATCCCCGCCCGTGGTATGGTTTAATCAGACTGTTCTGGGGAGTACCTAATAAAGTGGCCAATGAGTGTATAAGTGTTTGTACCTTTTGATTTCTTTAAATATACATACATTTAATATAATCTAAATCTGCTAACGATACGCATTCACAAAATATGTACGAAATCTGTGTGGGTTATTCGTTGGTTTAGTTTATTATAACAAAAGAAAAGGCACAATACCGAACTAATGGGTTCAAGAATTGGACCACAAAGTTTTAATAGCTAAACAAGTTACACTGGTAATGAATTATTAACATTTGGTTACAATCGTAATGAGTTATTTATGAAGACGTGAATTAAGTCACAAAAATATAATGTAGCTTAAATGTGGTTCTTTATTATTTATATTACCCTATATTTGAGCAAAGTATGGCTGAATTTAAAAAAGTTTAAATGGTTATTAGTCATTTACAACAAGCAAGTCAAAGTATTTTTCCAGAAATGTTGTTTTAATGTCACTTGAATAAAACACTTTGACATTTCTTGAACATTTGTGAGCGAGTTGTCTCTGAATTTATTAATTTTATCACATTCCAGTACATAATGACGCAAAGTGTGGCAATAGTCTATTTGGCAAAGTTGACATTTAGTTATGTCTACATCAGCTGGTGATGCTAACGTAAACTTCCAGAGATAACTGTAACCCAGCCACAGCCGGGTGGTAGTGACATCCAGTACCTGGAGTATACTTGGAGAGGGTTTCGGAAGTCAACGCCCTCACGGCCCGGTCTGAGACCAGGCCTCATGGTGGATCAGGGTCTGATCAACCAGGCTGTTACTGCTGGCCTCACGCAAACTGACGTACAAACCTCAGCCCGGCTGGTCAGGTACTTATTTTACGTGCCTGTCCAGTGCCTTCTTGACAGCCAGGGGTCTATTGGTAATCCAACGGTTGCGAAGGTGGATAGAGATTACAGCAAAATAGTCAGAGAATGGAACACCTCTATATAAAACTGGAAAGCCATGTACTGCAGACTGCACAGCAGAGTCTGCGTGCTCATTGCCCTGAAAATCAACATGCCCAGGGACCCAACAGAAAACAATTTCTTTATTTTTGCTAGTAACGCGGTGTAACCAAAGCTGTATAAGAAGAACTAGGGGATGAGGTGAATCAATTTTTTATGGCTTGCAAAGCACTAAAGGAGTCTGAGACGATTACAAACTTTGAAGTAGGCATAGATGCGATACGGATACTTGCAATGAGAATGGCATACAATTCAGCTGTAAAAAATGATAGCCGAGTCTAATAAATGACCTCGCATCAGTGTCAGGAAACACTGCTGCAAACCCAACACCATCAGAGGATTTAGAACCATCATTGTACACTGCAACAGCATGAGAATGAAATCGGAAGTAATTAAGAAAAAGAGAGCGAGAAGCAACTTTGCAAAAGCCTTCGACAAGTGTGACCATGGCGTAATAGCGCACAAAATGCGTGCTAAAGGAATAACAGGAAAAGTTTGTCGATGGATCTATAATTTCCTCACTAACAGAACACAGAGAGTAGTAGTCAACAGAGTAAAGTCCGAGGCAGCTACGGTGAAAAGCTCTGTTCCACAAGGCACAGTACTCGCTCCTATCTTGTTCCTCATCCTCATATCTGACGTAGACAAGGATGTCAGCCACAGCACCGTGTCTTCCATTGCAGATGACACCCGACTCTGCATGACAGTGTCTTCCATTGCAGACACTGCAAGGCTCCAACGATGAGAAATTTCAATTACTCAGATATGGTAAACACGAGGAAATTAAATCTTCATCAGAGTACAAAACAAATTCTGGCCACAAAATAGAGCGAAACACCAACGTCAAAGACCTGGGAGTGATCATGTCGGAGGATCTCACCTTCAAGAACCATAACATTGTATCAATCGCATCTGCTAGAAAAATGACAGGATGGATAATGAGAACCTTCAAAACTAGGGAGGCCAAGCCCATGATGACACTCTTCAGGTCACTTGTTCTGTCTAGGCTGGAATATTGCTGCACACTAACAGCACCTTTCAAGGCAGGTGAAATTGCTGACCTAGAAAATGTACAGAGAACCTTCACGGCGCGCATAACGGAGATAAAACACCTCAATTACTGGGAGCGCTTGAGGTTCCTGAACCTGTATTCCCTGGAATGCAGATGGGAGAGATGCGTGATTATATACACCTGGAAAATTCTAGAGGGACTAGTACTGAACGTGCACACGAAAATCACTCACTACGAAAGCAAAAGACTTGGCAGATGATGCAACATCCCCCCAATGAAAAGCAGGGGTGTCACTAGCACGTTAAGAGACCATACAATAAGTGTCAGGGGCCCGAGACTGTTCAACTGCCTCCCAGCATACATAAGGGGGATTACCAACAGATCCCTGGCAGTCTTCAAGCTGGCACTGGACAAGCACCTAAAGTCGGTACCTGACCAGCCGGGCTGTGCCTGGTACGGTGGTTTGCGTGCAGCCAGCAGTAACAGCCTGGTTGATCAGGCTCTGATCCACCAGGAGGCCTGGTCACAGACCGGGCCGCGGGGGCGTTGACCCCCGGAACTCTCTCCAGGTAAACTCCAGGTAGGTATTTGGTCTTTTGTGCACGGCAGTGGAGAAGAACAGACACTGTCGGAACTTCCCAAGGAGGAAGTGAAAAGTTAGATGCTAGATGAACATATAAAGGGGGCAACTGAAGAGAAGATAAGACACTGAAGATGAAGAGAGAAGGGACAGGGTAAACAGGGGCGGCGAACAAATGATTGACTTCTGTTAACGTTTGTTACTATTCTGTAAGTAGAAGAATTGTGAAGGTCATGAGAACGGACAAAATAGTGGAGGCAATGAGCATCACGACAATCGTTCAAGGATGGGACATTTGCTTCTGCACAGAGGCTCTCGACAGGTTTGGAGTGAAAAGCACATAGACATGAACGCAATCCCTGATGATGGATGGGATCGAGTTTAGAAGAGTTGCAGGAGAGGCCACAGAATATATCTGGGCACCATAATCTAACTTCGATAAAATTAGGGTTCAATGTAGTCGAAGGAGGGTTCGACGATTTGCCCCATCCCCGCATGAAAGATGAGCGAGGTTTTAAGGAGATTCAGCCGGCTATGGCAAGTTGCTTTCAGGGAGGTAATGTGAGGTTTCTAAGAGAACCGGCGATCAAACAGTAGGCCGAGAAATCTGACCATACCACATTCTGGGATTCACAAGCCATACAGGTACAATGGAGTATCAGGGACGATTGAACGTCTGGTGAAAGTAATTGTTTGTGTTTTAGCGCTAGAAAATTTAAACCCATGAGTAGTGACCAAATGGGAAACACTGTTGACAGCATTCTGGAGTGAGGCTGCTACTAAGTGATAATCAGCGCCTACACAAGCTATAGCAAAATCATCAACATAGAATGATAACCAAATATTAGATGGGAGAATAGATGCCAGATCATTTATAACAAGGAGAAAAAGGGTGGTGCTAAGGATACATCCCTGAGGAACACCGGCTTGGACAAAGTCTGGGGAAAGCAAATTATTAACCCAAACACAGAAATGTCTCAGGTAAGAAGTTTGCAAGAAAAAATGGCAGATTGCCTTGGAGGCCTAAGGAGTGAGCTTGGGCCAAGATGTTATACCTCCAAGTAGTGTCATATGCGTTTTCAAGATCAAAAATGACTGCTATAATGGAGTGGTTACTAGCAAAGTCATTACAGACATAAGTATCTCAACAGAGTAAGGGGTCAAGAGTAGAGCAGCCCTTACGAAAGCCATGAAAGCCATATTGACGAGGGGAGAGACTATTGTGTGTCTCTAAATTCCACATCAAACGTCTATTTACCAGATGTTCCATCACCTTGCAAACTGCACTGGTAAGAGCAATGGGACAATAGTGTGAGGCATCATGTCCTGAAGTACGTACCTTGTTTACGAAAAGGTAGAACTATGGCAGATTTCCACAGCTGGGGAAGAACTCCTCGAGACCAAATAAGATTGAAAAGACACAAGAGGACTGTAAGGGCTGACAGATGCAAATGCTGATACATGCGAATATGAATGCTATGAGGCCCAGCTGCCGATAATCGGCAAGCAGAAAGTGTGGACTCTAGTTCTAGAAATGTAAAAGGCACATTATAGGGCTCTTCTCTGCTAGAAGAAAAGTCTAAAGGCAGTAACTCTCCGGCAGGCTTGGAGGAAAGAAACGAGGGGTATAGACGGAGCCCTTTAGAGATATGGACAAGATGATTCCTGATTTCCGTGGCAACGTCAAGAGGGTTTGCAACTCTGACACTGGCAACCTGGAGAATGGGAGCTGGGTCTGAAAAGAATTTTCCACTCAGTTTCCGCACTTTTTTTCAAACTGCACTCATTGAGGAATCAGAAGTAATGGTAGAAGCATAATCTTGCCAGCAAGTGCGTTTAACTTTACAGATGACAGGTCGGGAGACCGCTCTCGCCCATATAAAATCAAGGAGACACTGTACTGCATGAGCACAAGCAGGAAACCACCAAGGCATGCATTTCTGAGAATGCTTGCTCGAGGTTTGAGGTATAGAATGTGAAGCTGCTGTCAAAACTGAGGTGGAAAATAAGTGTAACAGCTTATCAGTAGAGGACTAAACAGATGGTTATAACTATAACCAAAATTTTTCAAGGGGCAGACCAGTAAGCCAACGGAAGACCTCGGTCAGATGACCAAAGGTTCCAATGGCAGGTCACCATCTGACTAAGATCCGCATCAGATAACACTTCTGCTTCCTGACGAATCTTACCTAACCTAGAGAACGTAGAAGGGTCCTCACTAAAAGCAGTTTGGCGCAAGTACAGATCCCAATTCACTCATTCAAATTGCCGACGTGGGTTTCGAGGAGGGTGAAAATATGAATGGGAAGTAAGGAGGATAGGAAAATGATCGCTGTCATGAAAATCTGGGAGCAAAGACCAGGTAAAGTCAAGTGCGGTTGATGCAGAACAAATAGAGAGATCAATACAAGAGAGAGATTCAGTGCGAGGGTTAAAATGGGTGGGAGCACCAGTATTTAAAACATGGAGGGGAACAGAAGTGAGAAGAGCCTCTAACTGATCACCATGAGAGTCACAGTGAGACCCCACCCCCCAGAGGAAATGATGAGCATTAACATCACCTAATATCAAAATAGGTGGCAGTAAAGAACAAGAAATGCAACATCTGGGATAAATAATGCACGAGAAGGAGAGAGATACAAAGAACATACTACATACCACTTGTTCAGTTAGATGTGGGCTGCTGTGTAATGCAGCAAGCATGAATGAAGATCTGATGGTATGGTATTCCGGCTCGCACAAGAAGTTCACTCTTGT